GGGGGGGGGGGGGGGGATAACAGGTACAGGCAGGGGATGGAAAGACTAGCCCATTTGTCCATATGTGAGCTCTGCTCTCCTCACTCCTCCCTTCCCCCAGGATGAGTTGAAGAAGCTCTATGCCCAGCTAGAGGTCCACAAGACCAAGGAAATGGCTGCTAACAACCCCCACCTGCCCAAGAAGCGGGGCAACTTGCACCAGGGCCTGGGCCGCTCCTTCATGAGGTATCTGGCTGAGTTCCCCGAGGCCCTGGCCGGACAGCACTCCCGGGACTTGGGCTCCCCAGGCCGCAGCAGCCTGCCCGGCTCCTCCCGCCACAGGCTCCTCAGCTCCAGCCTCCAAAAACCGGAGAGGCCACAAGCCCTGCATAAGTCCCGCAGCACCTACGACCACAACTACCACAGGGAGCAGGACTCACCTCTCCTTGACTCACTGCTGAGGAGGAAGCTGGCCAAAAGGGTCTCACGGGCAGAGAGCCAGGAGTTGGTGGAGGGGCCCCCTGCCCTGGGCTTTAGGTCAGCCAGCGCCCACAACCTAACAGTGGGAGAGAGGCTCCCCAGAGCCCGGCCAGCCTCCTTGCAGAAGTCGCTTAGTGTCATGGCTGGCTCCAGGGAAAAGGCCCTGCTTGTGGCCAGCCAGGCCTATCTGGAGGAGACCTATCAGCAGGCAAAGGAGCGAGAGGAGAGAAAGAAGGCCGAGGCAGCCTTGGCGAGCCCAGCTCGGAGGCCATCAGCTAGGAGGCTGGAGGGAGCTCGAGGAGCCCCTCTGTCAGCCCCACCTTCCCCTGCCAAGAGCAGGAGCAGCATGGACAGCTCCTACACCTCTGGGAAGCTTCAGGAGGCTGCAAGAAGGCTGCCTCACCCACCCATCCAGCACCAGATCTCCACACCCATCATGGCCCTGTCTGGGGCCTGCCTGGGAGAGCCAAGGATGCTGTCTCCCACTTCCACCTTGGCTCCAGCTCTGATACCAGGTCCTGTCCCGGTTCTGGCCCCAGTCCCTGCCCTAGCACCAGTCCCAATACTCCCCCAAAGCCCCAGCTTACTCACCTTCATCTGTCCCTGGGAGAATGCAGAACTGCCAGTCAGGAAAGAAAACGTGGCTCAAGGCCCCGCAGGGCCAGATCGAGGCAACCACTCCCCTGCCCCAGCTAGGGCCAGGCTCTGGAGGGCCCTCTCTGTTGCTGTAGAGAAAAGGGGTGCTGGGGAGAATGGGATGGACATGGAGGACAGGCGTCTCCAGCGGGAAGCTGATGATGTGGATGAGGACAGGTCCAAGATCTTCTCTAAATCCCAAAGCCTCAAGACCCCTGTTCAGCAGGGTTCTGTGCGCAGCCTGGGACTGGCTATCAAAGCTTTGACCCGTTCTCGGAGCACACACAGAGAAAAGGAGAGTGGGGAAGGGAGTTCTGAGATGGAGAAGGGTGGGGCTTCAGGAGAGGGTGTGGGGGCATGCCCCAGATCCCCCAGGCTAGGCGGGCGCAAGGCGGTGAGTAAGCAGGCTGCCCTAGCCCCCTGTGAAGATGAGGAGTCCCTCCAGAACCAACAGAACGCACACACCAGCAGAATGCTCCATGTCTGTTACCAAGAGGGCAGCAGGGAACAAGACAGAGCCAAGAGGACATTCCAGGGTCAAGGGGAGGGGGAGGTCGAGAGAGCAGGTAAAACAGGGCCTGCCCCACTGAGGCAAGTCAGGCAGGGCACAGTTGGGGATAAAAATACTGAGCAAGCAAAAGAAGCCCTTGCAGGGAGGCAGGAACTGCTCAAAGCTGGCCTCCAGCACCTGGTCAGTGCTGACTGCAGGGTGGCAGAGGTATGCCCCTGGGAAGTCCCTAAGTCAGAAACAAGTCTGCCTGACAGCAACAAGGCTGAAATCTGCCCCTGGGAGGTAAGTGAAGGAGGTCCCGAGAGGGGAGCATTAAGGCAAGATCTAGATGACTCCCAGGAAGAGAGGGGGGAAGCTCCAGAAGAATCAGAGCCCAAAGATGTGGCTGCCCTTGCTTGGAAAAAGCCAGAGAAACTGGTCAGGGGGCAGGAGGCAGTGTGTCTCTGGGAGAATGCCAATCCCAGGGATCTGTCCCCTCAGGACTCTGAGAGAATCAAGGGCAGATCTGAGGCAGGGGGAAGTATGGAGGCTAGAGAGGTGGAGAAGTGTCCGCAGAAAGTCACAGGCCCAGAAGCATGTACACCTGACATTGCCAAGGCAGAGCTCTGTCCCTGGGAGGCAACTGAAGGAGGAGAGAATGAGAAACTGTTCCAGGAGGGAGTCAAGAAGCTCCCCCAGGAAAAGCAGAAAAACCACAAGAAAGCAACTTCCTGGAAAGAACAGAAATTGGGCAGAGACTTGGAGTCTCTTTGTTCATGGGAGAGGACTGATTTCCGCGGCCCCTTAGCAATCTCTACCGAGGCCCCAGGAACCCCGGAGTGCTTGGGGAGCCTTGCGGAGGTGTGTCCACGGGAGGCAGGAGAGGCTTCTGCTATCAGGAAAACAGAGATCTGTCCCTGGGAGCTGGGTAATGAGGTGGTGGGGAAGGAAATGCTGAGTCAGGGGGCCAGTGGAGAATCTGTCCAAGAGGGTCAAACCTTCAGGAAAGGGCTCTTTGGAGAGATGGGCGAACAAACTGGGAAAGCAGTGCAGGCATCTAGTCCACAGCAGGAGTCAGTGTGTCCCTGGGAGAGCACAGCCCCTGGGCACTCCAGCCCGTATCTGGACAATTCCTCATCCAGAGCTGGTGGCCAACTCCTCAGCAACGGAGGAAGCAGAGCTATGCAGGTGTATCCACGGGAAAACCTCAGGCCAGAGGTAAAGGCAGTAACACCTGCTAAGGCAGAAATTTGTCCCTGGGAAGTAAATGAAACAGAGGACTGGACATCAGGACAGGCACCCAAAGGAAGAGGCTCTCAAAAAGACATGGAGAGAATGCCTGAAACATCAGGGATCAAAGATGTCACAGCTTGGGAGAAACCTGAGGGACAGCTCCAAAAGCTGGCAGCAGTCTGTCCTTGGGAGAGTGTGGAACCTGGGAGCTTCCCCCAACAACCAGGTCCTCAAGACACAGACAGATCCAAAGCCAGTTTCCAGGTGTCAGGCAGTATGCGAAGCCAAACTGCCACAATCTGTCCATGGGACGTGGAGGATACCATATCTGCTAAGAAGGAAGAGATTTGTCCCTGGGAGGTGAGTGCTGGAGCAGGGGAGGAACAAACTTTGGGAACTGAGGCCATTAGGAAATTGCCAAACATTACAGGAAAGGATTCTGTAGATCCTAGACCCAGCAAGATAGCTGTTACTGCTCCAAAGAAGCCAGAGAGGCCAGGCCAGGAGAGGGAGGTGGCCTGTCCCTGGGAGAGCACAGATCCAGGGGGCTCCTCTCAGCATTCAGACACTGTAGATACTGACAGACCGAAAACTGGATTCAAGGAACTGGACCATGTAGGCTGCAGGCCAGCTGAGGTGTGTCCCTGGGAAGTGGAGGAAGCGTGTATCAGTGAAAAAGCCAAGATCTGCCCCTGGGAGGTGAATGAAGGAGCTACAGGGAAGGGACAGGAACAAGAGATGGGGAGTGATTCAGCAGGGCAGAGGGACAAAACCCCAGAAAGAGGGAGATTTACCCCCCTGGAAGACATATCAAAAGGGAAGACAAAACTGAGTCAAGAGCAGGAAACTACTTGTCCTTGGGAGAAGGACTTGAGGGAACCCTCTGCTCAGGTCCCTAGGATCTCAGGCTCATCCAGCAGCATGAATAACAAAGTGGCAGAAGTCACCTTGGAAGTCAATGATGAGGTGCCAGAGAAAGGGGACCTGATACAAGACCCAAAAGTGGGTTCCCTCCAAGAACACATAACCCAAGAAAAAGCTCCATCTTCAAAGGCAGAAATCACTACTGAAGAAGGGGGGAAAGCAAACGAGCTACAGTCTATCTGTCCATGGGAGAGCATGGCCCTGGCAGTCTCTTCCTCTCATCCTAAAAGTCAGTGCCCCGACCAACTCAAAGCTGGCTCTCAGAGACTGGTCAGCAATGGAAGCAGGCATGCTGAGGTGTGCCCATGGGATACTCCTGCCCCAGATGCTCATCAGCCTGACAGCAGCATCAAAGCGGAAGTCTGTCCCTGGGAGGTGACTGAAAGAATCCCTGAAGGAGTGTCAATACAGAATAGAAAAGGGGAACCTCAAGAGGAGGAGGGGAAAGCCCCAGAAAAACCAGAGTCCAAAACTGGGGCAGTTCAGGGAAAGCCAGAGAAGGCAGATGGTAAGCAAGAGGCCGTGTGTCCCCAGGAGGGTCAAGATAGTGGAGGTCTGTCTCCACAACCAGCCCCACAGGCTTCTGACAGAAGCAAAGGCACTTGTGAGGCAGCAGGCAATGCGGAGGCCAGGGTAGTAGAAGTGTGTCCGTGGAAAGCGGCAGAGGTTTCCTCTGCCAAGAGAGCAGAAATCTGCCCTTGGGAGATGTGTAAAAGAGCAGCAGAGGAAGCGGGGCCAGAACAGGAGGTGGACAGAGACCTCCAAGGGCAAGGAGAGCTGTTCCTTCAAAAGGCAGGGTCTGGAGGGAATGAAGAACACTTGTCAAAGGCAGCAGGAAAAGGCAGCAGAGATCAGGAGACAGTCTGCCCCTGGGAAGGCACGGGTTCAGGGGGGCTCTTCCCCCAGCTTGATGCTTTGGACACTGACCAAGCCAAAGTCAGTCCCCACGGACCAAGTAGTGTGGGGAGCAGGATGGCAGAGCTGTGTCAATGGGAAGTCACAGATCCAGAAGGAAATAAAATTAAGGGCACCATGGCAGACATCTGTCCTTGGGAGGAAACTGGAGCCCTATCTAAGGAATCTGGCCTCCTGGCTTTAAGAGCAAGTGAGACAGAAATATTTTTTCCCAGAGTCCCTGAGAACCCACCATGCCTTTTGGTCCAGAGACCTCTGGGTGGCTTCCTTCCAGAAAGCAAATGCCCCCGCCCCAAGGTGAGCAAGCCAGGCAGTTCTTTTACTCTGGAAAGACCTTCAGGACTTGGGCCAAGTCTCCAAGAAGCTGAGGCTCAGAATTCTTCCCTAACTGAAGACCAAGGAGAAGTGGCTTCCAAAGCTCCACATGAAGAATGTGCCCCTCCAACTGTTTATCCTTGGGACTGGGAGTAACAATTCCCAGTTTCAACTCAGGTGAGGTCAAACATTGGGGGGCTGGCTTTCAGGAGCTAAGGTCCTTTCCAAGTCCTAGGTGCTCCCAAAGAACTGAAACAAAGACACTTGACCACTCCTCTCCAGGAAGGCCAGAAGTCAACTCACTCAAAGACAAACTGTACATGAAGAGTGCAGCTCGAACCCCAACAGGAAGTAGTACCCTCTCTTTACTTCCAATTCTTCCTGCTGTAGGGAACAAAGGCCAGACCCTCTGCTTCTAATGAATCCTCCTCTCCAGCTAGAGTACTCAACATAAGCCGTCTCTGTCTACTCACTTGAAAAGCCAATGTTAAGGATGAAAGGAAGTCAGCAGTGCCCTGCCCACATTTTCTCATGGGGAGACCCTATTCTTCTCTGAAGTCTACAAAGGACTTTTTTTTTTTTTTTTAGAAGAAACTAAACCACACAAGGCACTGGCTACATAGGGACTGAGGGTCACAGAAGGCTGTACAGGTCACCATAGGAAGCTTAAGAAGCCACTTAATTCAAATTAAAAGAGGAAAAACCTAAATGGTTCAAAAGGGGTGCCTGAAATACTTTAAGACCTTGTCATTTTGACTTTGGATCTCCAGTTTCTGATTAATTGATCCTCAGACCTGCCTTGCTTGACTGCTGAAGCGGAGCCAACCAAGCATCTTACATCCGTATCATCTGGCACCCAAAGCAGTATCAGAGACAGAGCAGAGGAGGAAAGGCAATAACTCCGGGTCCTCCCCACGCTGGCCAAGGTCCAGTTCTCCTTTCCAGACACCCTGTCTCCCAGCTTAAGCAGTGTGCCTCTTGCTAGCTTTTTCCGATGGCCTCCCCTGCCTCCTGCCCCATCTTCTGCCAGTCTCCAGAGTTCATCTCACATGCTCATTCTCCCTGTCCTAGCCTTTCAGTGCTGACATCAAAGGGACCCCTCTCCTGTCAATGCAACTGGAGCCAGGGTGAGTCTCTGGTTCTGATGTGAGAACCACTCCAAATTACTTGCTCAGTAACAAGAGGCCCACATCAGTCTCCTTCCTGAGAAGCCTGAGAAAGAAAGGAGGTCCTGTTTACAGTCAGCACTGTAACTACCCTCAGAAAGGGTAGTGCTACGGGGCAGGTTAGAGGCCTGGGGGCTGGGGAAAGGGCATCATGTAAATACAAAGCCTTCTTTCTTAAGGAGCTCTCTCATTCTTAGCTGGGCTCTATTCTCTTAAATCAGTTCAGGCTACCCTTACTTAAGCAATCCAGATAACAGAATGCTGGAATTAGATGATACTACCAGAGGGAAATGAGGAAAGAGAAAAACACTGGTCAAAGACGTCTCAGGAATGGCAGAAGTGAGTGGGGGTGGAAGCAAGCAAACTAAATGTGCCCCTGCTCTAAAGATGGCAGTAAGCCCACCTGCTAACTAAATAGATACTGATGCCATTTACCGGGAGGGAAGGCAAAACAAGACCAAATACCCAATGGGGAAGAAATGAGCGTGCATGTGAATACTCTGGGCAGACACAGCACATCACAGAAGTAACAAGTGCTCTATTCCTGTAAAGTAGAAAAAGGAACAGAGTACCCCCATTTTCAGGGACTGAATACGCTTGTTCCCATATCTAGGCCCTGCCACTTACCAAGGTCCCTTGCCCTGGCCTCTCAGAGAAGTATCTGAAGTGTGTTGTTGCTCTGGGCTCCGGCTGGTTAACCCCACAGCTTCAGAGCCAATGTGTATTTTGCTAACTGCGCACCTTAGAATAATCCTATTGGGTCTGGTCTAGCTGGGAACAAAAATGTCCCTATACCCACTGCCATGAAATAAAACCTGGAGAAAAAGTAAAGACTGTTTTTTCTTGGCGTTTGGTTCTAGCTTTATTCATCATGGTGATGTTCTTTTTTCAATGTTTTTAAACAAGAACAGGAAGAAAAACAATGCCTGCTCTAAAGCCCAAGGTAACAAACTTTAGCTTTCAGGCCATCAGCTCTGTGGCTGGCATTGCAGATGGTCTCTGCCTGGTCCTTCTAGCCAATCCTCTACATCTGGGCCATTCGCTCAGCTGGATTTGATCTCAAGGGGAAATGAAAACTGCACTTATCCTCTGGCTCCCTGCTGGCAGCTATTGCTTAGCTGCTATTCAGGATTATCTAGAGACCCTGGAGACAGATCTGGGGGAATGGGGCGAAACAGCTTATTTAAAACTCTGTTTTCACATATTTAGGGAAATCAATGTATCATTTGCCCAGTAAGTGTGCTTTCTCTGCTTCCCTACCCAATCTGGATTACCTCCCTTTACTCCTTGCTGTTGTGGATCCTGCTCAAAGCACTTCCCATTTCATTTTGCCTTAATCCGGGGATCACACAAATAGGCTATCACCAAACCTCACTCGGGCTGCAAAATGTACATTTTAAACCAAAGGGGTTGAAACTAAGTCGCATGATGAGAGTGGCTGCTTTGGATTAACCCATCAGTGCTGCCTCTTCCCTAAGCATACACGTCTTGTTTCCATAGCCAGCAGCATTATAAAGACAACCATTTCCCCCAGTGAGGCCTGGTCTGTTTGCTGCTCTGCTGAGATGGTAATTTTAGAAAGACTGAGGAGTTAGGTTATTCTCAACCAACTCTTTTCTTTGAATTCTACTCTCAGGACAAGGTCAGAGCAGATTAATCCTTACCCTAACTTACAGGCTCCTTACAAGAAAATTCTAGGCTTGAAAAATACAAAGTATGAGAATTAAATACTGTTTTTTAAGGGAAGGCCACACTGGGTTGGTGAAAGCAATAGTACCATAAGCCAAGCTTGTTGCTGATACAGAATGATTTCCCATTCGCTACTTCCGATGACCCAGGACACATGGCCATGTGAAAGTCCCACTTCTTCCTCCTGACAACCTAGCTGGAGCTAAGGAACAAGGAGGGCTGGGCCATTTCACTCTACACAGGTTCATATTCTGGTACCTTTGCCTTCTGGCTAAGAAGTGTTCGGCTAGAAAGAATAGTCGCCTTCTATAAAAGGTAACAGAAATCAGGGAACCAAGTCTTTCAGATGGATTACCCAAATGTATGAACTTCTCCATGGCTCCTGCCTTCCCCCACCCCAGGCTTCCTGGAATCACACCAGGATGCAGCTAATAATTAAGAACACAATCCAAAGACCGAGGGATAAATGATTTCTTTGGATTTATGTTCTTCTGTGAAATACAAACGCTGATTCAGTGAGTCAGTGTATGAGAAAAAACCCTCTTAAATGATACCATCTTTTATAAACACCAATTATTTTCCCCAAGTCTGGATTTCCTGGAAGTCACAATTAAGCCTGTATTCCATTTCTGCCATTTGAAGGCTGGTCTACTTCTAGCCTGAACCAGGGCACATGGACAGAACCAACCACAAATGATCCAACACCCCAAGAATGTTTTATTTCAGTCTCTGATCCCTGCCCTGTGATAGAAAGAAAATTCTGCCAGTTTGCTCTTGACAGTCCCTGATGCAGGAAAAACTGGTGTCAGATGTTCTGAGGCCCAGAAAGTAAATATAAAATTTAAAAAAGGAGTGGGTCCAGGGCTGTGCACAGCAGTCACCGACCTGGGCCCAGCCATCAGCTGTGGTTATTGAGGATGAGACTGCTGTAAAGACCCAAGAAGGACAGGAGAGACAAAGGTAGTTCTTGCCACAGCATGATGGAGATGGATGACTTCACATCTCCCAGCCACCTCATCACCCATACTTCACCCCAGGAGTCATTTTTGCCATCAGGCTAGCTGAGGCTTATGGGCCTCTCCTTGTGGCTCTTCATAGTCTTCCCCGGGTTTCAGCTGGGGGCCAGGGATCATCACCGTCTGAAAAGCAGGAAGGTGAGCTATCTACCATTCAAGCCCATGGCTCACCCAGGAGATTCACCCTCACCTTCATGCCCACCCCAATAGGATTCCTTCACTGGTGCTGCATCACCCCCTCTCCACTAGGTGGCGCCCAACAGGACTGGCTTAGGGTTCCACTGGCTTAGTATGGCCTCAGCTCTCTTAAATCACATAGCTGCCTTACCTTAAGGATAGGCTGCTTAGGGGGTGCCCATGGAGGAATAATCTTGCCGTGCATTCTCCAGCTCCCATAGGGGTTTGTTAGGTGCTTTTCAAAGACAACATATTCCAGGACATCCTTGGGCACATCTTCTTGTCCATACATCAATCTGCCAAACCGGTCATAGATGGCCAAAGTCTACAAGGATGAGAGCAAGTCTGGCCTGTTAGTCATCAGAGTTGTTTTGATTTGTTTCCCCTTTTTATTTTTTTACACAACCATTTTTAAAACAACCATAACAAAACATTTTAATTGGGTAGAAAAAAATATCTCAGAATTCTGAACCTAGACTAACTGGTCAACTACTAACACTTTACTCTTACAAGTTTTTTTGACTGGGGAGGGGAAGAGGGAGGAAGTCGAGACCAGGAACGGTGGGAGAGAATATCCTTGCACCTGTCTTAGTAGAGCTAACTTCTAGCAGTAGAAAGGGCGTAGTGAAAGAGCAAGGAAGACCACAGTGAACCTTTCCTTAGAACCCACAGTCCTGGGCAGCTGCAGCCAGAATTCCAGAGGTGGGTGCCCAACCTGAGAGTAAAAAAAGCTGGAAGGAAAGTAAACTAGTGCCTTTACCTGCCGGGTATGCATGCGGACGGTGACCTGGCCATATACGTTGCCCTCATTCACCATACTTGAACAGCGAACCTGAACCACTTGGGCTGGCTCTAAAGACTCTACGAAGCTCCAGCGGACAGTCTTATATTGGATGTCGTAGACCATGTCCTGAGGGCAGAAGACAGCAAGTTCTACTGAGTTTTTCCCTCCCTTTAGGGAAGCTAGTGCTTCCTTCCACACCTGCCCTCACTTCTTGCAATATTACAGCCAACATGCACCATTTCTCACCAAATGCTTTCTTGTGCCTTCTTTCTCACTGTCCCAAGTTTTGATTAATCTGTTGCTCAAGCCCACCTCACAACAACTCTCTCAGGACTAACCTACCTCCTTGAGGACCCTTCTCCAAATCAATGAAAACCACATTCCAAACTGCCAGCTTTTTAAAAAAACTTTTTTATTGAATTTNTTTCATTTAAATCACAACTCAGGACTAACCTACCTCCTTGAGGACCCTTCTCCAAATCAATGAAAACCACATTCCAAATTGCCAGCTTTTTAAAAAAACTTTTTTATTGAATTTATTGGGGTGACATTGGTTAATAAAATTATATAGGTTTCAGATGTACNCCACATTCCAAACTGCCAGCTTTTTAAAAAAACTTTTTTATTGAATTTATTGGGGTGACATTGGTTAATAAAATTATATAGGTTTCAGATGTACAACTCTATAATACATTATCTGTATATTGTATTGTGTATTCACCACCCCAACCTCCCATACACTTTCATACTGTGCTAATTATTGCATGTATTGCTGCTGACTGCATATATGTTGCCCCCCATCCCTTTTTAGCTGAGAAGAGTGGGATTTACAGGGATATAAAGGCTAAACTGCTAAGACTAGGTTAGTTATCCCTGTCCCTAGGGAGATAAGGCTGAACTGATAGAAATGGAAGTTCTTATTCTTGAATCACAAAGTCCCCCTCCTTGGGGGTCTCCCAAAGTACCCAGTACCTCTGTTAACACACAATGTAAGCCTTGTGAATTCTTGTTAAATCCTTTATTATAGAGTAGGCAAGTGTAGGCTGGCCTAATGGGGCCCATACCCTGACCTCAGGATCCATTCCTGAGGTTTCAGTACTGCTTGCTGAGGGACTTCCTCTTTCCTCATTTGCATGGCCTTTACCAGAGCCCA